TGCCTGTCCTCTGTGTCTAGGCTACTTCACCTAGCATAATGTCTTCAGTGTTTATCTACCACTTAGCACATGTCAAACTTACTTTCTTTGAGGCTGAATAATATTCAGTTGTATATATAGACTATATGTTGCTATTTATTCATCCATAGATAAACAAAATAACTGTTTCCACTTTTTAGCATCTTAGCTTTTTTGGGGGGGTGTTGGGGGTCAGGGGGCACTGCTTGGGATTGAACACAGGGCCTCAGTTGTGCCAGGAAAGCACTTTACCATTGAGCTACATACCAGACCATGCATTTTATCTTTTTGAATAACACTGTTATGAACATGTTTATACAAATGCCTGCTTTAGTCCTTGCTTTTTAATATTCCAGTTATTTGTTAAGGGTATACTTTTAACTGATGTTGACTTCTTGAATTAAAGACTGAAGAATTAAACCACAGTAGATGTCAACCTTTCAGGATTGGTCCTTTCATTCTGTGTCTAACACAATCCAAGAATTACTTGAAAATGATATGAGCATTCAAATGGTTGAGCCCAAAACTGAGACTTCATGTTGGTATAAAGTGTCTTTGTCTGAAAACTCCAGAGGCCTCCCTTATTGGTCAATAGTTGTTCAAAGACGAGTCACCTCTCCATGTCCAAGTTCATCATTTACAAGGAAAACAGAATAAGAATCAAAACTGCCTCAAACTAGCCAATTTTCCAAAAATAAGTTTTACCTCCTCTGAAACATATGATCCCCAAGGATAATAGATAGATGCATAAAATTGGATTTCTGTTAAATAAAAGGAAGGAGAAACAGTCAACTACGTGTGTCTACCACACTCTAACAACATAAAACCGGGACACTTCACCTAAATTATTCTAATGTTACCAATATTCTAAAACTTACCTTGACTTAAATTCCAGGTGAAGATCCTATTTTTCACTCACTGTGGTATGAACCTCAACTAAACAACATAAGGTATTTTATCCATTCGTATTTAATTATTGCATATGTGCTTTTTCTTTTTCTTTTCCCTTTTTTTTGTGAGGAAAGGGCTCTTGTTTACTAACTCTGCAAGGGCAGAGGCACATTCTGTTTTATTTGCCTCTATATTTTCAGCACACAGTAGGCTTATAGTACGTTTTCTTAAAAAAAATTCTAATAAGTCCTTTAACATATTGGATTTGCTCCCTTGAAAGCACTTATATTGGATAATTCATTTAAATGTGTTAACTTTCCTATAGCCTATGTTGGAAAAAAGTCCTAAGCCCACTATCAATATTGTAAGTTAGTGTAGCTTCCTTCATTGATATTTCAAAGCCTCACTTAACTTTGTCATTCCTATTCTATGCAGTGTTTCCTCTTCCTTTTCTTACACATGGCATATTTTCTTTTAATTTAACTTTTATCATTCTGAATTTTATGGCAGGCTAAAAAATTAGCTTCCATTCATGGTGGAAGAAATCTAATATTACTGTACTAGTTCAAAGCAAATGGTATAAAAAAGCCTCTTTCACAATTCTGGGCTACTTCCACATTTTCAAATCATCTTTAGTTCAAGAACCACAACATAGCTGGCCTTGATTCCATGCTATTTTCAATAACATATTTTACCAAAGTATGAATTAGAAGAACTGCTTAATTCACATTCACCCTGATTGAATTCTGGAAAAGATTTCAGACTTTGAGCTGAAAGGCAGCAATGGAAAATGATATTGATCATGAAAGACTTTTTACTCCCATCCCCTCTAAATCTCTTGCCTCCTGTTCTTGTTTCACAAAAACGCTCTGCACCTGGCTTCTATTTTGGTTCTTTGTTTCCTCGTGTGATTCCTCTGTGTTTCCTCTGTCCTCCTTACATAAGCTTCACTTTGAGAAAATTTAACCTCCCTTTAGAGCTGGTCTTATTTTCAAGAAAACTTTTTTGTCCTTTCAGTGTTGAACCATTTCTTTCCTTGGAATCCAGACTGCAATCTGTGCTCTTCTAACTAAATTATTTCATCACAATCTCTCTCTCACATTAATCTATCTCCTTCACCACCTTATCCCAGTTCCTATGAAGCAGAGGCCGTCACTGCTATGGTTTGGATATTTTATTTCCTAAATTTTCATAAACTGGAAGCCTGGTTTCCATGTATTTGTCTAGAACATGGTGGATTCTTAGGAGATGGGGCCTATTGAAAGGTGATTACATCATGAGGGCACCAGCCTCAGAAAGGATTAATGCTTTGTTTTTGATTTTTCAGGAGTGGGTCAGGACTCCTGGGACTGGATTAAGTCCCATAAGAATGGGTTGTCAACCTTTCCTGGCTGTTTCTCTTGTTTCTGCTGTCTTGCATACATGTACCATGTTGTAAGGTAGTCAAAAGGCCCTTGCACAAGATGAATAAATGAGGCCACCCATTGTTGGGCTTTCAGCCTCCCAAACTGTGTGCTAAATAAACCTCTTTTCATTATAAAGATTCCCATTCTCAGGTATGTTGTTATAATATCACAAAATGCACTAATGCTACCACTTGGTAATTTTTCTTAATATAGCCATCTACCCACAATTTAATGGAATATTTTAGCACTTCAATTATTGTTTTCCTTTTCTCCACCATAATATTCTTCCATTAGCATAAGTGGCGATGTAAAAATACACTGGAATCTTCTAATCACAGTACCAGTTGACAATTGAGCATTGTCTTTTTATCATTTTTTTTCATTACATGGCTCCTGTGCTTTGCATTTTCCAAGTATACCTACTACCTCATAGAGCAATTTCTCTTCTTTCTGATCTCTAAGTGTCAAATTTCCAGGGTGTAGTCTTTGGATTTTAATGTTAAACAGTATTTTCTAGATGATTGCATCTCAGTCCACAATTTCTTTCTTAACTCTAGATCAGCAACAGCAATACTCTTGCCAAAATCTTTGCTTTCATATTGAAAAAACTTTATAAACATAAAGTCTACTCAAATGAACTCTTGATTTCTGTCATTACAATACCTGAGGGAAGGACAAGGACTTCTTTAGAACAAAAGCTAAGTTATTCTTTTTTTTTTGGTACTGGGGATTGGACCCACAGCCTTGTGCATGTGAAGCAAGCACTCTACCAACTGATCCACATCCCCAGCCAAAACTGACTCATTTTTGATTTTCCCTGGGTACTATGTAGAACCTGTTAGCAAATCCTTGTTCTTTTGACTTCCTTCTCAACATCTCCACAGCCCCCACTCATGGTTAAAGCCATGCTAACACTTTATCTGGGCTAGTAATGCATTGGGATCAACTTTTACTCCTCTCTAAAAGCACTTTTTTGTTTTGTTTTTTGTTTTTTTACAAACTCCCAACCTCAAGGTATCAAGGATAATCCCTTTACATTGGATTAAGTCATACCATTGTTCCAAGTTACTCAAAGACTTTCTTTCCAACATAAATAGAAAAGAAATTCCATCTTCTAGCCCCAAGGAATATATCTCATCTCCACCCAGCCTTTCTCAGTCTTAAGGTCTCTTAAGCACCTACTGGCTATAGGGGTTTTACATTGGAATTCAGTTCCTTCTCTCAGGTTCCACAAATCTTGCTCTTATCCTTTATTCACATCATCATTTAAATTCCCCCCCCCCCCCCCCGCAGAGAGCTCTTTTTAAACTTTCTAGCTGAAAACAGCACCATTCTGAAATTTTGTTCTTGTCTTAGAATTTATTGCTACATGACTTTATATTAAATAGTTTCCGATTTTACTCATCTATTTGTATCTTACACAGTTTATTTGCATTGCTCAGGGGGGAGCGTTTTTTTAATTGTTCTGAATTTAACCTCTAGAACAGTGTTTAACGCATTTTAAACATTCAAAAATATTTGTTAACAAAATGATTGAACCAAATTAATTAATTATTCATTGGAATAAAACAAAAAAAAGATAAGAATTGGCTACAGAGGGTTGTTACTCTAATTTATAAGTTGGACATAATGTGATGACAAATAGTTAAAACTGGGGATTCAGATCAGGTACCAGTATTGGCACTGTAGAAGAACTATTTTATGAGCACAACACACATCTTTTTTGCTTTGTTGACATTTCTTTTTCTTTATGAGGATGTTTGATACGTGATACAATTACTTGTAAAAAGAACTATATTCATCGTGTTGCTAGTAGTAGGGAAAAAAAGTAAAACTATAGATACACAAAAGCTAAATTTACCAGGGATATTTAGGTTTTGTGTTGGTGTATTTTTAGCAATGAAAATGACTATTAAGATACTCCCCCCCACCCAAAAAAAAAAAAAACTGTAATTGAGAATAAAAATGAATAGACTTTAAATTTGTTCCCCAATAAAATGCAATGTTTTAACATACATTTCTTAGTAATGAAACTATTGCAACTATTTGTGTTGTCAAACTTTTAAATTATCATTAAACATTTTGATAAAATTAGAGAACTATTAAATATCATCAACTTTAGTCTTAAATATTATATTCAAAAATTCTAAATAGGTTAGGCATAATTTTTGAAATATGAAGGATTTTTTAAATTTCAGTTAATTATTGACATCAGTAATGTTATTTTCTACATTAATTTAACAAACATTTAAATTTCAAAAAATTATTGTAGAACAAAATTATCGAACATTTTAAAATTATTTCTTCAAGTGGAAATCAGTTATTTTGTACTTGCCACTTGAAATTATATTTTAAGAATCTGAAGTTATCCTGAATTAAAACTATGAAAGGCATAAAAATATACTAAGAAAACAAACTTTTTAATGTTATTTATCATAAAAAATAAAACAATTTTTCTCACTTATTAGTGAAAATAAAAAGAAAATTGCTTATATAGTCACCTCATATAAATAATCTGTGCCTTACTTTGAATAATTAAACTCATATATCTGCAATCTTCAGGCTTTTGTTTATACAATTTGAATAAGTACATAATTAATGCAAACCACATGGATATAGTTCATCTGCAGAACTGGAACCCTTTTCTTTCACTTCAGTGCTGTATCTTAGTATATTTTTTCATACCTTTACTCTGAGCACAGAAGCAAACATTCTTGCATCTTCAGATACTCCTCCAATGTAGAATCTTTTCTGAAACACTGGGGGATGATTATTTTCATCCTGAATCTCAATGTATACTTTAGCTATATTGCCTGGGAGACAAGAAATAAAACATTTTTATTAATGGTTATTCATTAGAAAAACAAATGCATAGAAATAAACACTTATCATACTTACAATAAAAATCATTCCTAAATGGATGCCTAATTCTCCAAATCCAGAGGATATCAATAATGACGCTTTTGTTATAATAATGTAAAATCGCCACTATTTCTTTTGGTTACAATGTCTTTATTTTAATTGATATAATGAATGCTAAAGTACTGTGCACTAAAGTACTGTGTGCGCTGCTATTTTTCCTTTTTTTTTTTGGACTGGGGATTGAACTCAAGGGTAATTTACCACTAATCTACATCACCAGCCTTTTTGTTTTTGTTTTTTTGTTTTAATTAGTTAAACATGATAATAGAATGCACTTTGATACATCATATATAATGGAGTATAATTTCTCATTCTTGTGGTTGTGCCTGATGTAGAATCACACTGGTCATATAGTTATATATGTACATAGGGTAAGAATGTCTGATTCACTCTGCTATCCTTCCAAGATTTTTAATTAATTAAATTAAAAAAAATTGAGACCATGTTCCCTAAGTTGATAAGGGCCTTACTTATTAAGTTGCTGAAGCTGACCTTGAACTTGCCATTGGCCTGTCTGAGGTTATGAGTCACTAGGATTACAGTGTGCAATACGTGCCTGGATTCAATGGTTCAAGTTCACAAACACTTCATACACATTACCAATTACATTAAAGCTGCAGATATATATAAACTCCTTCTGAAATAATAGACATTTCCATAAATAATGTATATCATATATTATTCTTATTTATAAAACTAGCAATAATAATCACCTCGTTTAAAACTACAATATAAGTTTTTATTTTATTTGATACTGGGGATTGAAACAGGGTGATTAATCACTGAGACACATCCCCAGCCCTTTTTTATATTTTATTTAGAGACAGGGCCTCACTAAGTTGCCGAGGCTGGCTTTGAGCTCCCAATCTTTATGCCTCAGCTTACCTAAGGTTTTTGATTACAGGCATGTGCCATCGAGCCCAGCTTATTTTAAAAGTTAGAGACAGTTGGGTGAATTGCTTACTGCTATAAAAGGAAAATAAGTTTTATCATGTAATAAGGACTGTTTGCATTAGAAGCTAACATTCAGTGAAAAAATGTAACTTAAAAGATAATTATCATATGATTCATAAATGCTACATTTTGCCATTTAAATCATATAAAGTATACCATAAAGAACACATTTCCTCTCAACTGTTAGAAACAGCCCCACATTATCCCGTTAGTGAGAAATTGGCATTGGTCACTAGTCCAAGGGTGATGTTTCTGATACAAAAAGGATTCCAGTGTGTAAAAACAATGTCCAAGCCAGATAAAATGGAAAATAAATAATTATCAATTCTGCAAAAGTAGACTAAAATCAGCATTCCAACATGCTGCCTAAGGAAACTATTCTGATGCATTTTAATTATGATCAAATATATGGCAATTGATCTACAAACTATTTATTAGAAATAACTATTTTAATATTTTATTCTGTAATAAATGCCCTGTCTTAAGCTTTCAGTAATGAATACCAGTGAGTAGCACAGCCATACATAATGGGCATATTGGATATCTGAATTGATTGAATAATTAATGAGGAACCTGTCTTAGTAACAAAAAAGAAAGAAAGAGCTATTTTTTCCTTACTTTTTTTTTAATAAGACAAACCCTAAGCTTTTGCCCGTATCCTGTTTCTCCTCTTTTCATTTCCCTCTGCTTCATTTCTTTCTCATAATCCTTAAACTGAAAAAGCTAGAATAAAAAGGAGAAATTTGCTAGGTCAACAAAGAAGGGAAGTAAAGTTTGTGGCTGATTATGCTTCTATGTTCTTCAGTTCTAGAGTCCTGGCTTGCCCTTCAGTTAGCCACCATCAATCAGAGTTTATCCAAAATAAAATCCAATTTTATCTAAGCAACATACCATTTTTACCACTAGAATCAAAGAAGTTAACAGCTACAAATTTAATATTTAAAGAAAAGGGAGGAATCCTAAACTATATCACTTTTCTGATAACACATTTCTTCCCTGTCATTCACAAATACATAAAATTAAGTCTGCTGTGCCTTTTTGGAATTCTGCATAAGATAGAGGTCTCAAAATCTAAACTAATTAAGGATGTCATTATTCTTCATTAAATGGGTAGTTTAAAATGCAAAAAATCACCACCATGGTACCACATGATTGTAATTCCCAAGGTGTGGGAGGCTGAGGCAGGAGGATCACCAGTTCAAAGCCAGCTTTGACAATTTTGGGAGGCCCTAGTAATTCTGCGAGACTCTGTCTAAAAATAAAATGTAAAAAGGGCTGGGGTTTTTACTCAGTGGTTGAGCATCCCAGGGTGCTTATGGTAGTGTTTAAGCCCTGGTACCAAAAAAAAAATTTTAAAAAAGGAAAAGTTTACAAACTCAAATTTTATATATCTGCCTTATCAACAAGCAAATATCTTCTTTTTTAATATTTATTTTTTAGTTGTAGTTGGACACAATACCTTTATTCACTTATCTATTTTTATGGGGTGCTGAGGATCGAACCCAGGGTCCCACATGTACAAGGCAAGCGCTCTACCAGTGAGCCACAACCCCAGCTCTTAAATATGTTCTTAATAAATATTTCTTGTGCCATTTTTATCACAACCCCTTAGATTCCCATGTATGCAAATATTTTGGTGTTTTGTGTGTGTGATTATATATCACCTGCTTCCCTTGTCTTCTCTTTCCAATGTGTTCTGCATTCTGACATCACAGTGACTTTGCTAAATACAAGTATGACTCTTTAAATCAAATCAAGTATTAAAATTAACAGTCACTCATTTTTTCATTCTATCAATTGATTATTAATTCAATATATCTTTTGAGGGACTGTTGTGCATGAGCCACTCTAGATATCACTATGTGGAACAAGAAATAAAAGTTATGATATTAAAAACATAAAAAATCCATATCAAAAAGTTAGCATGAAACAGAAGGCTCTTAAAATTCTTACATGATTATCTGGTTCTATTTGTATTACCCTCTGAACATTATTACCAATGACAGATAATGTGAGCAATGCTGTGGATATGACTGTGTATGTACATGCACATCCTCCTTCTTCCCCTATGTACAGATCACCACAAACCTTCCACAAACCACAGTGTGAGCCATTTTTAAGATCCAATAGAGTCTTGAAATCGCTCTGGAATTTTTGAGTTTGAAGGAATAGGGAGCAGGACAGTTTATATCAATATTCCCCTGCCTTCTCCCAAAGAAATTGAAAAATAAAGAAGGAGAATTTGCTTGTATTTAGGTAGGTAGTAAATATTTGAGTATGCTTTTCCATCTAAAACCACAAGGATTAACATTTCACTGAGAAATTTCCAAAACTTTCTAAATATTTACAAAACTTGGAGTTAAGAATATAGAGTGATAAAATGGGACTAATGAATGAAAATCTGCATTCAAACCATATCAAAAAATGTGGGTAAGTTGACTGAAATTAAATTAGTCACATTTAAAAATGGACTAAGGAAGTATTTTCATATGCCCATAGTTGAAAACATCCCTCACCTTCACCTCATAAAAGCATAAAATATTTACAAATAGTATGAATGCAACCTGAGAAATTTTATTTCCATATAATTGAATACTGCTACCTTCAAAGATACTTGTAAAGCAAACTAGATTTTTACTAGCACAGAAGGAGGTGATTGTGCTCTGATCCACATGTTGGAATTATATGTTAATTACATCTAAATTATGTTGCATTCACATGTTGAAATATTACAAAATCATTAAAATAATGTTTTTGAAGAATATTCAATGACAGAAAAATATTTTGGATACAATACCAAGTACAAAGAGTGAGGCCATGATTTTAAACAAAGCACATATTATTAAAATTTGTACATATGTGTGTGATTGCATAGAAATAATTGGGAAAATATGTACTTTTTAAAAAAGTAAAAATGTACAATTATATATCATCTTAATTTTCTTCATTATACATTTTCTCTAATTTTATTCTTATTACTTTTCTAACTAAGGAAAAATTAATGTAAAGTTGGAAAACTAGAAGTGTAAAGAAAACAAAAATTATAAAATAATGCATGCAAAAAATTAAAAATATATATATTGAAATAAACTTCATTGGGTTCTTTCTATACTTTTCTAAAATGTCATCATTGTTCTCTGAATAGTCTGGGAATACCTACTATATATCTTTACTTTTTCTGAATCAAGAAGCCTGGCTAAAAACATACATTTCCCCCCCTGAAATAAATAAGAATTTGCATTCTACTTTGCTTATTTGTAAGAAGACATTTTCTAAGGTACATGTTATTTATTTGTGAAGATTTAACTACAAAACAATGACTAAACAGATAAGTGATTGTGCAAAAGATAATCTAATTATCTGTATATCTTTGCTTAGTTCGTTAGTCATGTGGCATACAAAGTATTAAATAATTGTATTTTTGCAGAAATTTTAGAAGCAATTTAAAGTGAAGTAATTTAATTATAACTATTTAATGCCATTATCCTCACTTAATGTAGTTTTTGAAAAATATTTAATGAATACTTATCAACTAGGGGTTCATATTTCTTGTAATAGGCCATTCAATCCAAATATTTTCTTTAATCCACTGAAAACAATTTTTGAAGCAACAGAGCTTTGTAAATTTCGAAAGCTTAGGTAATCAGCTACTTGTATTTTGGGGGACCAGTCAGTAAAAATAGAAATTAAAACTTTCATTATGATAGAAAGTAAAAATCTAGTAGTGTAACTTTTAAATAATAGCCCAGTCTTCACACAATCCTCCATACTGCCCACCCAAGCTTTCTAGTTAAACACAACTGAGTCCTAAATATTTTTTTTTTTGAAATGGTAGAGTCGTTTTGTTGTTGTTGTGCATGTGTTCATGTGTATGGGTATTTTTATTTATTTGTTTTGTTTTCTTTTTTTCCTGGCTACCAACATCCCTTTCTGCTTT